TGGCGGGTCCGGGCTGGGGATTCGAACCCGCCACCTTAGGTGTACGTGGCTGGCGCCTTAGCCGGTTGAGCTATAGGCGCCGAGCCCAAACTTCTTATATTTACCCAGAAATGGTAAAGTATCAACTCTGGTAGATCTTCCTTCAGATTTAAGTAGCTGGATGGAATAAATATCAGATCCAAGAAGTTGCAGAAAGTAAACATAGCCTGTAAATCCACTACCTATGATGTGGCACAATTTCATTTAATTTTCTCTAATTGGAAGCAATTTCACTTAAGTAGTCAACCTTGTTTTGAGAATATGACAAAGCTAGCATAGAAATTATTATTATAGGTACTGAGTTTATTGCAAATAATATAGGACCTTTTAATGGAAAAATAATTCAATGTTAATGTGATTATGGGCCATCTGGCTCCCTCATTCAACCAATGGCTCATCCCCCCCCACTTTCTACCAATACACCATAACTTGATAACACTAAACACAAAGTATGATGATGCTTTGATCAATTTTTAAATCATTCAAATCACAATTTTAAGAGTTTCAAACAATGACAATTTACACAGTTCTTAAAGTCAGCTTGTTTGGGTTCTGTGCCTAGCTCTGATGGTAACTAGCAATATGATCTTAAACAAATCACTTCAACTCTCTGTGAGCCTCATTTTTCTCTTTAAGATTTTTTTCTAGAACAAACCTTGTCATTGTTCTGTCTAGCAGAAATAAATGCAGGATACTTACCATTGTGACCACTAGATGACAGTTGGTAAGAAACTCATTCTTTTTTCCTTTCTTTCTTTCTGATTAATCCAAACAAAGACATTATTGCACAGTCTAAATAACGGCCCATACTGGTGATAACTGAGTATCCTAAGACTTCGGGAGATAATGGGTTCTAAAATGTTTGAGGAATGAGTGAAAGAATGCATGGATTCCAGTATTAGTTCTAGGTCTTCTCTATCCCCTACTATTGCCCCCTCTGCCCCTTCTATTAAAACACTGTCTCTGTTGGGTGGCGCCTGTGGCTTAAAGGAGTAGGACGCCAGCCCCATACGGTGGCGGTGATAGGTTCAAACCCAGCCCCAGCCAAAAACTGCAAAAAAAAAACCAAAAAACAAAAAACAAAAAAACCACAACACTTTCTGTTTTAAAAAATTTTCAGAATGTTACAGGGATACACACCTTTTGGTTACATAATTTGCTTTTCTACATTGTAAGCCAAAGTTATAAGTGTGCCCTTCACCCAGAATAAGTGCATTATACAAGTTAGGTGTAAACTAACCCAACCCCTCTTTGAAACACTTTCTTTTTAAATCTGTGGTCGTAGGAAGAAGAAGAAAAGATGAGACAATATAAAAAGGAGTTGGACTGGGGGGAGAATGGAGAAAACCAAAGGCACTGTAGGCCAGGTGCGGTGGCTCACAGCTATAATTCTAGCACTCTGGAAAGCTGAGGCAGGTGGATTGCTTGAGCTCAGGAGTCCAAGGCCAGCCTGAGTAAGAGTGAGACCCCATCTCTAATGAAAATAGAAAAACTAGCTGGGCATCGCGGCAGGTGCTGAGGCAAGAGGATCACTTGAGCCGAAGGAGTTTGAGGTTCCTGTAAGCTATGATGATGCCACTGCACTGCACCAGGGCAACAAAGTGAGACTGTCTCAAAAACAAAGCAAAACAAAAATAAAGGCATTGTATTGCATCTCAAAACAAACATCAGTGTACTCTACTATTTATGGATGGAAGAATATAGTGACAAGGACTTGCTTTAAAATAATATGGGAGGATATAGATGATAAATGTTGTTCATATGTTTATGTTGTTATTTCATTAAATTATATTTTTTGTATGTGCTGAAAATTTTCCATAACACAAAGTTAAAAATAAGAGAGATCATTCCATTTCCTTTCCTCTAGACAAGATCAAGTTCAAACTATTTCACTGAATCTCAGGATGCTTTTGCTTGATGTTACAGAAAATTTGTCGAAGATTGGGTTTTCTAGAAGTAGACAATGGTATGGAGATGGGTAGAAATATTTTTGTTATTAATAGGGAGGAAGCAGGATTGTTCAGAATTGAACTTCTTTCTACTCAGGACTAAAGGATCCTCAGCCATCCTGGGAGGGAGGTCTAGAGTAA